TCAGGGGGTGACACTTCTTTTGTCCAGTGTGTGTAGTAGTCTAACAACCAAAACAAAATCATCTGATTTTGCATCAAAATAATTTTATTTCATATCAAATTGATGTATTAAAGTTTAATTTTTGTGCTAAATTACTTCAATACTTCATTCAGAAGCCAAGAGCTATTCTCTGATAATATATTATTATTCATGATAAAATCTACTATCTATTCCGAGGAATAAATTAAAGGAAAAATATACTGACCAATGTTAAAAATCCCTGCAAAATTTGCCACACTGCCAAATGACTACATCATTGTAAAGATAACTTTTATACCTTGGGATGAAAGAATATATAACAGGCCAACCCAACTACCAGACTCGGCACCGAATGATCCTGAATTCACCGGTAGATCAGACCACACTATATATAAGAAATTATACATTTGCAATCGTAATTGTATTTATTTTGCAATCGTAATTGTATTTACGTTCTTTCTGAACGTATTCACTTTTTCAGTTCAAATTAATATGACAATTTTTCATTCAAAATAATTAAATTCTAAAAAGACACGCCACACAGCTCTCTAAATATGTGGTAATACGTAACATAGACCATACGCAACAAATATAAGTAACTGTCTCAAATATTACATTCTGGGAAATGAGAGCATGCAACGTCAGCTCATTATTTATTAGCAGTAAAAAGGAAATGTTTTTCTTTTCGATCCAAGTCATATACCGGCATTATATTGAATTGAAAGCAAATACGTGGCGGATCAGCAAAAGTGAGGGATCGAATTAGCTGCACAATGTATGTTTTAAGATGTGTACATGTGCTACCGTCAAAAATTGGTGGTGCGTTGAAAATAAGTACACTGGTTATTGGGGCACTACTAGTTATTTCTTTCTTATTGTTTCCGGATATCACACGGATCGTTGGAGAAACCAAACCAAAGAAATGGGTGCCGACTGATTACCCTCAAGCTAGGCAAGGCGAGGAACTCGGCGTTCTTCAAGGTGATAGCCAACTGACAGATGCAGACATGATGGAGGACCTGGGATCAAAGAGAATGAATGCAACCGACCCTAGATTATTGAAGCTCCTCCGCGAAAAATGGCTTCTTGCACCCTCCAAACGTCCCTACCACTTGGCTGAACCACAAAAAGTACATATGTCTCAGGTTGGGCAATCAAAAGCAATTGATAAGCTACTGAAGCAAAGAAAGAACGGTTTCTTTGTCGAGGCGGGAGCCGCGGATGGTGAACGTTTATCTAACTCGTTGTTTTTTGAGAGATTTCGGAATTGGACGGGAGTACTGGTAGAAGCAAACCCATGGGATTTCGATAAGTTGACTAAGAAACACAGGTAGGTGCGTTTTCTTTCAATATCACATAGTTTCCAACTAACAAACATCTGTCACACAAACCCACTCCCGTGTGTTAGATTATTTATTAGCCTATTATGTAATGAAAGGCTTGATTTTTGAATAATATTATCTATAATCTACTGTATGACAGGTGTGGTTTCTAACTAATTCTCCTTTGACGGATCGCGATTGTTCAAGGACAGTTGCTGATCCATCAGTTTGTTTCCCTAAGCTAGTCAAATGCAAAATAGATGATTATATGATAACGTCATCCCTAATATGAAACGAATCTGTACAGTATTTTCTATAGAAATCTGTCATTTATTCGAATTAAAAAGTTTCAGCTAGTCAAAATTAATACTTTTGTGTAGCATGCATTGTACATCTATTTAGAGGAGTATATCAAAGAATAAATCTGATTCAGAACTTTATATTTACTGTGTTTTACGATCTTATCTAACACCAAAACAAAAACCATCTGATTTTACATCAAAATAAGTTCATTTCATTTGAAAATGATACATTAATGTTTAATATTTATTCTTAATGACTTAAATGCTTCGTGCAGCAGGCAAGCACTATTTTTTGACATTTTCTTATTATTCATGATAAAATCAACTTTCTATTCAGAAGTGTTAATCAAAAGGAAAATAAGCTGGTCAATGTTTAACATTCCTGCTAAATTTTGCCACACTACTAAATGATTAAAACATTCTAGGGATAATTTCTATATCTCGTGAATGAAAATATAATCTGTGTCTAGAAATACCATGATATTAGAGATGATTTCCATTGTTTGTTTTACTTGTAAGAGATAGAATTGTTTAACACCATAGGAATTGTTTAATACCGAGATAATACACTACCACTCCTGAACTTGGGTTAGCCAATTAAATCAACCTAAAAATAAGAAATCACTTACCAAATTTAGCAAAATATGTTGGCATCATAGCAGAGAGAGTGAGGAAATGTACAATGTGCTTATATTATAAGATTCTTGTACTTTATTAAACATACCGTATTTTTCTCAACAACAACATAATCTTGTTTATGAGAATAAAGTAAACGTCATGATAAAACCGGTCACCTCCTCTGTAAAAATAATTTTAGGCCTTATTTTGACATATATCCCACTGCCACGGGATGACAGTTGCCCATGAAAATCCTTTCTTTTTCACACAGCTTCCCTTGCATGCACAAAGGGGGGGGGGGTGCTAGAATCGGATGAGGCATTCCAATGAGAGCTGACGCGTGAGGTATGAACAAGACATATTCGTAATAAATGTTCTTGCTTTGTCTTGCAGTTCTTCAATGTTCTATTCACATCCCCAATTTACACGATGATAAGTTGCCTAGTTATTATTTAATGGGTACCCTTGAAGAAATGTGCACAACGTTCATTATATTTTGCTAGGTGATTATATTTTGTTACATTTAGTGTAAAAATCAAGGTCTTACCAGAAAGATGTTGCAAAATGAATCTTTATGTATTTATTTGGGTATTATCCCATTTTTTTCATAGTTAAATCTTTTGCAGGCAAGGTGTGTTACATTTAAAAACCACACTCAATCATATATGACATCTGATAACATTAAGCAATAACTATGTCTGAAGTAAACAATTTAAAGGGGATTTTGAGAAACCAGTTTAGACAGTTTAAACAAGAAGAGGCGTTTGACATGAGTCAGGTGAACTTACTGTTACAGGATGATAATGCTACTCCACGTACAGCCCATGTAATAATTGGCTGGTTTCATGCGGTACCAGATCCAGACCCCCCCCCCCCAACTCCGAATCTCTCAATCGCTGTAGGCTATCGCGGTCTTCCTAATCGGCGATTGAACTGAATCACAATCTCACTTGTAACACATACAAACACATATATTTGCCCTGTGTTTTATATATATATATATATATATATATATATATTATTATGCAAATATTGACTGTTTTGCATTGGCTTACACAAAACTGTCATAATTTTTTTCTCGGGAAAAATATGACATAAAAAGTACATATTTTATTTATATTATATATCGGAAATATTGTCTCCAATAGCCCCACATACATTCTTCCTGCTTCCTTTACGTGCAGTTACAATTTTGTTCTATCTTTATATAGTTCCACATCACTTTATTCTTATTGTTTACTTTTGATATTTTATTTTTGATACAGGAAATCAAATATCATCAACGCTTGCCTGTCTCCGATACCGCACCCAGCGCGAATGGAATTTAACTATGCCAATAGGTTAGGTGGCATCAGTGAACTGGGTCACAAGTTTCCAGACTCTAGAGGAAAAGGCAAAGGACTAGTACAGTGTTTCCCAATACACTCCATCCTTGCCGCACTTGGCGTCAGCCACGTGGATTACTTCTCCCTGGACGTCGAAGGGGTCGAGGAGGAGGTTCTCCAGACATTCCCTTGGAAAGATATCATGGTGGACGTGTGGACGGTGGAGTATGGTGTCTTCCGTGGGAAGGGAGGAACGGAGGAAATCCGGCGCAAGACAGAAATCAGGAAGATCTTCCAAAACACAGGGGTGTACCAAATGATAGATGCTCCTAGATTAAAACAGGATTTACTATTTGCTAGAAAGGAGATACTGGCCTAGTAAAGAAGGTGTTGCTGACTTGGCCATCCCCAAAGCTGAACTCAAACATCTCCCATATAAACTTTGGTTGTCTGATCGCGTCATGTCGAATTCAAGTCAAACCCCGAGTTTCAGGGGACGTTGGGAAGTTCCTTCTCTACATTCGATTATCATTAATGCACTTTCACAAGTTACCATCATTAATAACCTACCAAACGTCCAAAACCTTTGCCTGGGAAACCTGAAATATCCTAAATGACCGCAAAGGTCACAGAAATTTACACCCGTGCACATAAAATGGCCTTGTCGATTTGGCTCTTACAATACAAAATAAACTCCACTTTCAAATGCAGCTTCGGAATTAATGTATTTCAAACGGTAATATTCTACTTTAAAGGGATAACAACTGTTTGTTTTGGCCAAATTGGATTTTCCTGGGGTAAACGACGATTTTCCCATGATTACCAATAGTTACTGAATCTGTTCCGACATCCAAAATTAGTCTGTTTTAAATGTTTTTTTCATAAAAAATAATCTCTTAAGAGATAATTACGGAGGCATAGCTATCTATGAAAGTCCAAGTGGTCTGATGGAAAGCATAGATTCCAGATTAATTGTGATAACCGCTGTTTTGGTGGTAAAATGGAATGCATAAGTGTATTTATTAGGAAATATGAACCCAGATGAACAGTTGTCATACTTCTTATCAGAACAAATTTTCAAGGTGAATGTTTGCATGAACTCCATTTAGCTCACCCTTGGATTTTGATTCAAAACGGATTTTCCCCGCCAAAGGGGCGTTTCTCCCCCCCCCCCCACACACCTTTCTACGGGCCTGTATATTGATCAGTATTGTGTTATTATAACGGTAAAACAATTTAACCCAGAAAGCCAAAGCAAACTTTTGCTTCCTGCTTTACAGACCCAGTGGAACCCACATGTCAGTCTTCTTTTCTTCATGTTATTCTGCAATTTAAAATAACATCACAAAAAGAGGCGGGATATAGGCTTTTACGGCCCCGTCACACTAGAGGCGGAATGAGCAAGAATGCCGTCGGAAAGACAATTCTTTGTACGTTCCTGGATATTCGAAAAGCATTCTAAAAATTCTGAGTGGATACCATTCTTGTGGCCGGCCCGAATGTTTTGCTCATGCTCAAAACTTTCGAAGTGCATTCTAAGTGGAGAAATATCAAATGGCATTCTAAGTATATTCTAACTTCACTATGAGTGCAATATAAATATTCTAAGGGCATTCCGATAGCAATCGAAACATTCTGATCGCGTTCGAAGGAGAACCGAAATGACAACACGCTTCAAATCCTGCTAGAATGAATTGGAAAGCAATTCCAATCCATCTCCTATTTCAGCCAGCAATCGAACTACATTCGTACGGCATTCGAAGAGTATTCTAAATATGCTGACTGCATTTTAACAGCTTTGTCGATAGTTTCCTAGTTTTCCAAGTACATTCGAGCTGCATTTGGAAGCTAATACAACCTAAAAGTGCACGAATCATTCCAGGCGGACTCAAGTGCATTCTGAGTATTCCAACGGCATTCTTACAAGAATTGAGGTGAACTTGAAATTTCTTCCCGAATGTAGAACGAATTTGAAAATTCTCCATTCCGGCTGGTTCTGATTGATTCCTGCTGATTCCAAATGCGTGTGACGGGGCCTTTAAAAATTACTAGCTCGCACGTGAGCCGAATGCGATATTTGAGTGACGTCGTGTCATGTCTGGCTGCATTGTTATTCAGATTAGTTTTTAGTGACAATCACTCAGACAGCTAGGAAGGTAGTGGAAGATGGCGACAGACGAGGAGAAAACTGTCATACTGAACACACTTTTGAAGGCAAAGACATCTCCAGAAGGAGTGAACCGGTACTTCGTAAGTAGGCCTACAGTTGATATGTTTCTCATTTACCAGTTTCGGTTTTAGTTTATCGTCTTGACAATGAGATGCACGTGGACACTATAGGCTATCTCTCTATTTAGCCATTGGTCATGGGCCTTCCACTTATAATGGCTAGTCGGTCCAGGCCCATAGCCAACATTTTCAAATGGGAGGAGGGGTCTCTTTCTTAAATAGTTAACCTTTTACCATGAAACCTTCATGTACCTAGATAAAAATTTTACCCAGAGGGAACCTTTCCCGGTAAAAGGGGGTCCTTTCGAACCCCCGAACCCCCCTGGCTACGGGCCTGCGGTCATTGGAGCAGATATGGCAATGTCAATCTCGTTATTCGAAAAAAAAGGTTTAAAAGCTTAAGATAAAATCGATATTATCCGAAATGTGCGTAATATGTTTTGTTATCGAATAACAAATACATGGCAATAGTTTCAGAAAAGTATTGAAATTCTACGCCAAGTTACATGCAGTACTAACCAAAGGTCTACACACACTTAACCTCGCACCGTTATAATATCATTAAGTTATATCAGTATCGAGACTGTATAAATAACACCAACGTTGTGCGAGTCAGAAAATGATCACATTTTTTTAAAGGTGATAATGAATAAAAGAATCTTCCTTAAATGGCAATTTTTTAAATATTTCCAGTGGCAAAGGAACGCAAGAGACGACGGGCCCGTACTAAAAAAAAGAAAGAAAAAAAAAAAATATATATATATATTCTATGCCCCCCTTCAAATATAATTTTAACAGCATTATGTTGGCATAGTATTTTGAATTGTGTAGATTACTAAAAACATTACATTTGCCTTATCCAACTGATTAAGTATAATAAAATCTATTTTTTGATGATCATAAAAATTGTTCTGTTCTTTGATATCATAATTGAAATCAGCCGTCTTACCAGCATCTTCGTTTTGCAAAGTGTGTGTGTGTGTGTGTGGAGGGGGTTTCTAGTCGCGCTGACTGTACACATTTGTTGTATTCTTGTAGCACAAGGTATTCGGCGTGGACCTATGGTGGGACTCGATCCGACGCCCCCTTGATTCAGAGTCGGGCAATCCCCAGACGCCTCTACACAGGCCCAGCCACCGTTGCTGAAATTTCTTCTTACAGCGACTAACTTGACACAAGGTGGTTTTCGTGAATGTTCTACATTCTATATTTGTATTAACTTATAACGCGTTGAAACAGCCTAGACAGAAAATCTAAGTTGTCTGTAAAAATTGTGCCCTTGCTTCCGTTGTGCAAATTCAAACACCAGCGCACCTTAGCGCAAATTACGTTTGCGATATTTATGAAATTTATTAATTTTTTTAATTTTGGTAATCGTATTTCGACTGTGTCCTATTACCAGAATTTGGAATTTTCACTCAAAGGCAATTCAACTGCAGAGTGTTCACTTTCTTTCCTTTCAACAAAATATAAGCATTTCATACCCCCCCCCCCCAAAAAAAAAAAATAAATAAATAAAAACAAATTAATAAACGGTAAATATTAAGTGAATAAAATTAAAGAATCTATCTCAGATTAATTGCAAATAAGACGCCTGGATGAGTTTATAACAACTGCTTTTAATTAGTTTGATTTCAAACACAAAAGCAACGCTAAACAGCTATATACATTTATACGGGCTCCTACAGGTACCATAAGCTTGCTGGATGTCCACTTAACTGAAGCAATCTACACAACTTTACAGACATCCGCAAACCAATTACTCCAACACATGTACAAATATCATATATATTAAGCACATTTGTAATATCAAAATGAACAGACATGTTCAATACATGTACATCGTACATGTAAACATAGCTTATCACTTTGTATAGGCTACTGTCAGAAAAGCAACCAATGTACATGTAGCGCACTCTAAATTTTATACCTATATAACCTACAATTACCGTGTTTACACGGGTGTACACTGACCACAACATGCAGTCACTTAGTCCACTACACAGCTTAAAAAGAGCATTTTAACCTTCATTTTCCATGCACAGAATCCCCAAAATATCTGTGCAAGTTTTTACACTTCAATGAGCATCCCCTTTATTCTATCTGAGGAATGTCTCCTATACAATACAAAGCAATGAAGGCGTCCTACAATAATGCCCTAGTCAGCCATAACCATGAGGAACAAAGCCCAGATAAAAATAAATTACAGCCAATAGCTTCCAATTAAATAACAGAACTACAGAAAGCCCTTTGAGCATTATGGGAATTTGTGGATAACACAAACACAAGGATATGATATCATATCATATCAGAATCATAATACTGCAAGGGTGTGGTCAGATGGCATTAATAAAGAAAGAATACTGACATTATGAGGTACATGTATCACACACAAATGGACAACACTTAGGAAAAACACACACAACCACAGGGAACATGGATAATGAGCCTTGTTATATGCCGTTGAGGCAAGGGGCTACTGTTTCACATTACTGCTGTTCAGTACAAGGTGCTATTTGACCATCTATATATTTTTACTTTGTAAAGTATTGTGCTGATGAGAGCTGTTAATTTATTTCTGTTCAATGGTGCTAATTTTGAGTTAGAGGATGAAACAAAGATGGGCTGGTGAAATTTTTTAAACTTAATTCTGTGCTAGGATAGTTTTAATCAATATGCATCAGTTATAAGGGTACAGTGTTCTCTCTGAAAAAGTCTAGTATTACATAGTGTCCACGGCTTTGTGGCAACTTACAGGCAAATGTGTATGGCACATATTACTGTAATACCCATGGAAATTTTTAAAATCCAGAGAGGAATTACATGGTCAGATCAAATTCTTTAAATCTAAGTATAATGTAAATCACTACCCAGCACTTATTAATCTCTAATCAAAATTTTGTCACTTTTGTATCAATACATAATTAGGAGCATGAGGACCCACTTATACTTTAGTTAGCAGAGCTAATAATAATACATATACTCACTACTGAACCAAAACATCCATTTTTCTATAACAAAAATATCATAACATTTTACAACAAAATCTAATAAAATCAAACAAATGATCTCGACCAAAGTTTGATGATCGTATCTGTTCAGCCATCACTTTTTACCCAAAATTAGAGAGCACTGTACAACACATATCACATTAAAGTTTCAAATGTTTTGATACTGGCACATTACTTCAATTCTGCTACGGGGATCCAGGCTGCTTCCTCTTTTCATTCATGCTACAGATAATTAAATGCAACACAGTTTTTACATAATATCCATAATCATAATAATAACAACAATGAAGATGCCCTTTTTCTTCTTAAAATGTATACTTAAGGTGTCTCCATCCACATTGGTGATAC